CCCTGCCCCAAATTTTTATTTTTTATTTTTCACGTATTCAACACTTCCACACAGACCCCCCAGTAGCGAACACGCCCCTCTAACCCCCCCCCAAAAAAAAATTAAACCCCCACCCTTCGTCACCCCTATGAAGAAAAAAACAGTGTTTTTTTTGTGGTTTTTTTTTTTTTGCAGATGGACTCCCCACGACACCCGACACCCACCCACCCGAAAACCGCGGTTGACCCCCCCAAAAAAGACCGTGAAAGGACGTACGGAAGTCCATACGTACGGCCCGTAAGGGCCGCCGGGGCCCCGTACGTACGGTCGTACGGAAATACGTACGGCCCGTATACGTATGGGCGTACACACAGGAGGAGATGGAGTAGGAGATGGAGGAGGAGATGGAGTAGGAGGAGATGGAGTAGGAGATGGAGGAGGAGATGGAGGAGGAGATGGAGTAGTAGATGAAGGAGGAGATTGAGGAGATGGAGTACAAGGAGATTGAGGATGACATGGAGGAGGAGATGGAGTAGGAGATGGAGGAGGAGATGGAGGGGGAGATGGAGTACGAGATGCCGGAGGAGATGGAGTACGAGAAGATGGAGGAGGAGATGGAGGAGGAGATGGAGGAGGAGATGGAGGAGGAGATGGAGTAGGAGATGGAGGACATGAAGGAGGAGAAGATCAATCAAACAATCAATCAATCAAACAATGAATCAATGAATCAATGAATCAATGAATCAATGAATCAATGAATCAATGAATCAATGAATCAATCAGTCAATCAATCAATCAATTAATCAATCAATCAATCAATCAATCAATCAATCAATCAATCAATCAAGTTCACTCAACAAACATTTCATCCATACAGGATGTCATTTCTAATTGTTCTCCCTTCCTTCTTTTCTTTTCATGCAGCTGACGCGGACAAGTCGACGTTCTGTAGAGTACAAGCTGAACAGGCGTGCGTCGCCAGTAGTGCATAGCTGCACACAGTAGTCGTGCTTTTACCGCACCACCGTCACCTTTTTGGAGCTATGGCATCCGCTAGTACATGGCGTAGAGGGGACCCGCTACCACCATTTGTGCCTGTACCGCAACACATGCAGGATGAATTGAGGCGCGCTCATATGGTGTGGGAGTGGGTCGAGAGGGGCCAGGAGTGGGAGAAGGTAGGCGGGGGCAACTTCCTTATCTGTTGCCACCTGTGCCGGGAGGTTTTTACAGGATCTAGGTCTCGTGGAGTTGAGCATTTCACCAAGCAGAAGACGTATTGCCCACGCTGGACTAGAGAGATTTTGTACGAGTTGCAAAGGGCGGGGGTAGTCCTTAGAGATGCCATCTCGTGGGGCCTGGCTTCAGAGTACGCGGAGAGGGTGGAGGGTGTTATGGCTGCGGACGACCTCCGTCATTACATGGAGGCGGAGGGGGGCGGAGAGGAGGAGCATACGAGGCCCGGGACACCCTCGCATGCTGGAGGGGCGGATGCATCGCTTACTGGAGGGGCGGATGGTGGCGATACATGTGGGGGGACGATCAGCTTGGCTGACGATTTGGATGCATATCGTCAGCGTGGCGGCAAGTCACGAGGCGGCACTCAGCCTGCGGCTTTTGAGGACGCGCCACCCCGTGTACCAAGAGGTGTAGGAGGTGTGAGTGGCCGTATTGAGGCAAGCGGTTGTAGTGTTAGTGCAGCACCCGCGTCCACATCCGTAGTGGGTAGGCGACAGTCGACTCTGGATCCCTATATAGGGAACAAGATCAAGATGGATCTTGATCGGTTGTGGGCCCTCGCTATCTATCGTGGCGGAGTGGCGTTCAACCGACTGCGTTTGGCCGAGACGCAGCAGTTGTGGGATTACATATGCACTTTATTCCGTTGCCACGATAGTACCAGTTCCACGACTCCTCTCGTATGAGGGGGTCCGGACGAGAGGATGCTGGATATTATCTTCCATGAGATTGCAACCCTCATTGCCCCTAAGACGGCAAAGTGGGCTACTTTCGGCTGCACGCTGATGACGGACGGGGCTATCGACACGACAAACAAGCCCATTATGAACTTCATCGCAGCAGGGGACTCCGGACCCATCCTCATCTGGACGATTGACATGTCGCATCGCGACAAGACCGGCATTAGCTTAGCAGAGATCTGGGAGGACGTGATTCGACATGACACTGGTATCGAGAATGTCAATGCGATATGCACGGACAACGCCGAGGTCATGAAAATCGCGGCGCACACGTTACAGACACACCCAGATCCTGCTATGCGTCACATTCCCTGGATCCCGTGCGCAGCACACTCCCTAAGTTTGCTGCTGAGGGACATTGCCGCACAACCTTTCGTGCGACTGACGACGAGAGACGCGCACAAGATTGTGAAGTTCATGCGCAACAAACAAAAAGCGCTTGCACTTCACAAAGTAATGAAGAAGGCGCTGGTGCTCAGGCGACCAGCGGAGACGCGTTTCGGTATAGCATACATGATGCTGGAGAGGTTGTACGACCAGAGGGAGGTCTTGGACACATTGGTGTCGTCGGACAGGTGGGCTAGGGTGCGATGGGCCGGGGATGATCGAGAGCGGATGCCTCATGTCCGCAGGCTCTGCAGGGATGACAACTTTTGGAGTGGCGTGAGGACGGTGATGGACGTTATGGGTCCCGTTTACTCGTTCCTCAGGGATGTTGACAGGGTGTCAGGGACGGCTCATCACCCACTGGCCTATGGGATTTGGAGGCCATCCTCCGACAGAGACTTCATTCACTACAACTGTCAGACTTTGACCACCTCTCTACTCAACACATCATACGTGGTGGTGGCCTATTGGGTCTTCTCAAAGAAATGCCCTCGTAAGGGTTCTCGCATGGCACGATATAATAAATTAAGTAACTGGGTCTCAGTGACCCCGTGGTCTGGGACGGCCACCAGATCATCTGTAACTGCTTTGAGTGCCCTTGCACTCTTCTTCTGCCGCGAGTGGATCGTTTGCAGTTTATCAGACGCCCTGAAGCCTCGCGTGACGTCTGCAAATTTCTCTCTAAGGAGTTTAAGGAATTTGTGAAGAGCGGTGAGTTTGGAATACGCAGGGACCTGGCAAAACTAGTCGATTCATCTTTTAAAGCATGGAAGGCTATGAGGACTTGTTCCTCAGGCACAATGTGTTGTAGATACACGTAGGTATTAATGCTAGCCTCCCAATCATCAAAATTTTCCTCCTTCTTTCCGCCATAAGAGTCTGGAAACTTAAGCTTAACAGACTCTTTGCGGGGACGCCCTTCAATCTCTGCAGTGGCCACTACTTTGGCGCCCTCGATGACGCATTTGCAGAATTTCTCTGCATTCTCCTTTAACTTTCTAACCTTGGTCCGTACATGTGTCATCACATCCCGCGCGGATTCTCTAAAACCGGACTGGATGGAGTGGAGGGCCATGTCTTGGCCCCTAACAGACTGATGATGCTCAATCAAGACCCTACCTAAGAGCTCGATCGTCCCAATGATCTTGTCCAACTTGGCCTGAATATCAGGTTGGGCCTCTACTTCCTGTCTACAAGTCTGTAAACTTTCCACTTCTCTGCCTATCCGGTTGGCTTCCTCCGTCATCCTCTTCTTCTCTCTCGCCAGACTTCCAGTAATTTCTTCTCATTTTCTATTGCCTGGCGCTCTAGGGGATCACTCGTTGCTTCAATATCCCTAATCGCCAATTCCTTCTCCTTCCGAAATTGTATAGCATCATCTCCTCAGCTTCTCCTAACGATAAGTTAGCCACCCACTCCAATATCCTCTTCTGTACCCACGGGTCATCTTCCTTCGTGCCACTACTCTCTCCTCTTCCCCCCATGCTTCTTCTTATGAGGGGCTCTTCTTCCGACTGCTCCTCCTCTTCAATCTCTTCCTCTACGGCAACCTTCATTCTCTCTTCCTCCTCTTGCTGCAATCTCTTCATCTCCTTCTCTAACTTCATTTTCTTCACCGCCTGCTCCTCTGGTATCATCTTCACCTTCGCCTGTCTAAGGAGCTCCTTCTTCTCCTTCCTCTCTCTTAGGATGGCGGTGGTTTGCTCCTCTTGAGCCTTGCTATGGGGGAAGGTGCTCTTTCCACTGCGAAGGTCCACCATGGTGATAGGCGCACGACCGGACAACAGTTATAGACCTCACCACTTACACCTCGGCACCTGACTGACCTAGGACTCAATCTAAGGACCACAGAATCCAGGTAGGATCCTGTCAACTAGGGTCACTAGCCTAGTCCTAAACTATGGTTGTCACTACATGACTTGTTGCTGACCAGGAGGCATTTAAGGAGATCCCCGTAACTCCTCAGGAATTATTTAACGTCGCAGACAAGACAACGCGATCAGCAAGTCCTCTCAGGACTTAGACAGCCTGTTCTGCAGCCCACAACTCGGATTTTGGGCCTACCGTGCCACACCGAGCAGCCTGCCGGTCAATACCGGTCCTTGGGAGGGTTCGTGTCCTCCGGGCCAGTCGAGTCGTCAGACACGGCCTTTAGCCCTACTCAGTCCGTGTGGGTTTGATCAACAAGGCTCTATCCTTCATACACGGAGTTCCTATCACCTGGACAAAAGAGACTCAATGCAAAAAGAAGAGATAGACAGACTCAGCAAGTACAATAGGGTGAGTGCACATCCATAGGGTGAGGGGATAGGCTAAGGGTTTGGCAAGAATATACCAACTCCAGCTTGGTCAAAATCGTGGTCAGCAATTCGGTCAACGTCTCGGTCAATGCTTGGTCAACGCTGGTCAAACCTCTGGTCAACGCTCCAGTCAACCCTGGTCAACGCCCGAGTCAACGCCCGAGTCAACGCCCAAACCAACTTCGGTTAACCCCTGGGTCAACACCTTGGTCAACCTTCAACTCAGCTATGGCTGCTGACGCTTGCTCCCCTCGCACCCTCGCTTCTCTTTCCCCTTCCTTTCTTCTTCCTTGCTTCTTTCTCTCCTCATCCTAGCTATGTCTTCCTTCCTCTTCGTTGTCCCTCCTTCCTCTTCCTCAACTATGGCTCCTCACTTCTCTTCTTTCTCCATTGTCTCCTTTCTTCTTCTCCGTGTCCGAGCTTCGTGGCTATGGCTGCCTTCTTCCTCCTTGGACCGCACAACCAATCTTGTATCGCTCCTCTCTTAGTCTCTCTCTCTCTCTCTCTCTCTCTCTCTCTCTCTCTCTCTCTCTCTCTCTCTCTCTCTCTCTCATTGCCTTCCTGCAGGTACGCGGCACCTTCCTCCACCAGCGCAGCTTTGGCGGACTCTTCTTCGGTGATGGGGAACCTTCAGCTATGTCGCACTTCAGCTATGGCGCCCAACTTCAGCATACCACAGAAGATGAGATTGCATGAGATAGCGGGTACCTGCTCTGATACCAATGCAATCAGACTCGCTTTCTTTTCCACTTCGCACTCATGCAAACAGATGGTGAATCACACTGGCGCACAACGCCCACTCAAAGCTCGAAGACATGGAAGTCGAAACACAGTTCAGATACAATCTCGCTTCAACAGGCTATGGCGCATCAGCGCCTGTACATCCTGACTCTCGTCTCTCTGTCCAACACCACTGATTGCAAACACTCAACTCTGGGTCACCCTGGATATCCCACACGCATACGCACTCACATACACACTACTACTAACACCAGCTATGGCCGTCGTGGCAGCCAGCTACTACTAACTATGGCACGCTGTCCTCCTCTCGGCCCACTTCCACTTCAGGCGACTGCAGACCACCTCGCACAAGACGCTGTGGCAGCGCTTCCGCATGGCTTACGCAGCAATGAATGAATGGCTGGACGTTGCCTCTTGATTTATACTTCTGGAAGTCGCTGGTCTGCCTCTTCCACCGGGCCCATGGTGCACACAGTCCCACATGGTACTTGCTGACTCAACATGGGTGCACTCACCACTTGCCCACTTGCCTCTGGCCAAACGTAAGAATTCTCGAAAGGCCATTTCCGGACCTTCCAGAAGTCCGTAGACTTGGCCTTTCGGAATTGTAGCAGCTATGACCTTGACCTTTCAGGGCTGTAGCAGCTACAACCTTGACCTTTCAGAACTACTACAGCTACGACCTCTACTACAGACTTGACCCCTGCACGACAGACCTATGGTTCAAGACCCGACGGGTACACTGACCCACGACAGACAACAAGTAACTCCTAAGACACAGGTTACGGGTTCAAACACACAGGGGTACTGTACACAGGGGGGGCGAGGCCTAGTGATCGAGCCCAATTACTGATGGTCGGGAGTAAGAACCAGGTGCAAAACTCGGTTTCCCACAGCAAAAGTTAAGGAGCAAAACCAAACGCACGAGCATCACACCAAGAACACTAAGCAAGGCCGGAGGGAAATAAGGCCCAACATGCCATCCCACTATGCATACATTTATCCTTAAAACTACGCTGCCAGATGTCCTATCGGGAGACGCGTCCACCGGACATCCCCAGGAGATGGTGAGTGGAGAGTTGTCCGAGATTCCGGACAACGCATTTTTGGAGGGAAAAATAAATAGAATCTGGGGGGTCTGCGCACCACTAGGGGACCCCCGCAATAAAGTTCAGGCGATTGCAAAATGAGCAATAGCGCAATGACAAAATTCCAGATTGGAAATTCACATTGAAAGCCAGATAGTCGATCACTGTCCAGAAAGCAGAAATGCACTGAAATGACACCAAAGGAGAATCAAAGCCGCGAGCTCAATTGTCAATGAAAGAATGTTCTCGCCATCTGATTCGCCACAAATGCCATCGAAGGTCTTCTCTCTACCGGCACTCAGCGCCTAGAGTACTTCCTACAGCTACTATCCTACAACTACCAAATGACGATGCAACCCGTTGACATCAGCAGCAGCAACCAAACTACAAGCAGACGTCGACAATGTAGACCATCGCTAAGACTAGGTATGTGCCCTCACATCACCATCCTCATCTCTCCCTCTCACTCATCACCCTCGTCTTCTCACCCACGTCTCCCTCATACACGAACACCAGCACCACCTCCGCTGACTGACCAAGCAGAGCCCTGGCTATGAAAGGCTGGCTATGACGCTGCCCTCAGAAGCGCTGTGCTTCTTGCACGACCGCAGGCACCTGCACACTTGCCCCTTGCGCTGAGCAGGCCTGCGAGCTCACGCTCCAGCAGCACTGCCGCTCGCTCACGCAAGTGCCGAATGCCCCCAAGGCTGGCGGGAACTTTCCTATATGGAAAGTGCTTGCCAGCCTCCCACGAGTTGGCTGGCTGGACAGAGTTTCCAGTAGCTTCTGATTGGGCCAAAGTGTCTGCACCCAGGCCCATTCAGACAGTGGCCTGGGACCAAATTGGTTAGGCATGCCAACCAACCATGTGCACACGTACAGTGTTCCCTGCTTCGACCACGTTGCTGGAAGGACCTGGAAAGCGCAATAATATTTCTAATTCTCACGAGCAAGGTGGATGTAACCAACTCGTGCGTGGCAACTGTCTGGCACCCACCAAGACTTGCAAAATTGACAGATCCAGGGCTCATGCGGATTTCAGGGCCTGTCTTCACTTAGGGCGGGAACGCTTGCTTGCTGCAAGCCCCCCGCAGGGGCATGCCGAGGGGCCAAACCCTCGCAGCATTCTGAGCGAAAACGGACAAAAAAGGGAAACAGGTTGGGGGGGGGGGGGGGGGGGGGGGGGGGGGGGCCCCCCCCGCGGGTGGAGGAAGAAAAAAAAAAAAAAAAAGGGGGGGGGGGGGGGGGGGGGGGGGGGGGGGGGGTTGAGGTGGGTGGAGTATTAGTTGCTGCAGATGCATCAGCAGCCGCAGCAACTGTAGCAGGTGCAGCAGGTGCAGCAGGTGCAGCAGGTGCAGCAGGTGCAGCATCTGCACCAGCAGTTGCAGCACTTGCAGCAGGTGCAGTAGCTGCAGCCTACGTTGCACGCCCGGCAGTGGCCGGGGGGGGGAAATTGGCCGCGGCCTCGGCCAATGGCCTAATCGCCCAGGTTCGGCCTCCGCCGACCAGCCGATTTCGGTGCAGGATTTTTTATTTTTTTTTTAACGCATGAATATATATATATATGGGCGTGTAGGGCTCAAAAAAACCTACACGCCCATATTTTTTTGGGGGTCATTGTTGTTTTCTATTGCGCAACAAAAAACAAAAACAGAAAAAAAAAAAAAAAAAAAA